CCCCCCCCTCCCCCCACGTTTCGCTGTTCGTTCCGATGACATTGCTTTGCCAGACATACCGCCCAACCCTAAGCAAAATTTGCCCGAGTTTTAAACTTTGGGGGTGTCAAACCCCCCTCCCCCCTCCAACACACATACACACACGCACCAACGGTTTTGCGCCACTGCATACAGCACAAGTTTACAGTAGTTTTAGCATAATTTTTTGGCAACTGGTCCCAGCCATAGTTCTGTTTAGAATTCGATCAAAACTTACGTCTGCAAAACTCCTTTTCATTCTACTGTTACATGCATCATATGTTAATATTTCTATTTAAGAAACGACATTTTATTCTTAATTGTCGTTTCCAAGTTAAACATTAACAATAGCTCGTAATTCATGTAGTCATTTTACCATGTCAATACGGATATGCTGAAATAAACTACCAATAATACTTTCTAATTTACAAGTTTTAAAGTCTCACCTTTTCTTTATTCTTTTCTATGTTGTTTAATTTATGTCGTTAATCTTTTCTTCTTTTGACGAATTTGAGCTCCTATATTATCTCGTAAATTCTGCTCGGAATTCTGACGTTTCTTTTCAACTTCCAAATTTCAACTACAGACTGTTCCTAAAACAGTACGTTCTTTAATGTTCCTACCAGACAATAACATTATGGAATTAACATTATGACAAAATGCATGGACACAGCTTGTATACTAATTTGCATATGATCAATATATGATGCTTTTCTATTTTTATTGACAATACATATTGTAATATAGCATTTGTAATTTCTGAACGCTGATTGGCTAAGAGCTGTGTTGATATAACTCAATGTCAACACGGGAAATTTTTCGCCGCTTGTAAACACGGAAATTTTTCTTATCCTTCGGGCTTTTGACATTGCTATATTATAAAAAAAATATAAAACATTTTTTCCGTGTTGATATATAGTTATATCAACACTCGTGGAAGTTGGGAAAACTCGAAATTGTATGAAAACACTCCGCCCTTCGGACTTTTCTTCCGCTCGCTACCCCCACTGAATCTATGTTGTGTATTGATCATATGCAAATTCGTTTACCAGCTGTGCCCATATTGTCGCTAGTTTCTGCAGGTCGAGACAGACAACTTGAAGCAGACTAAATTAAAATTCTGTTTCAAGTACAATTGTTGACATACTACAGGGTGGATAAAAAAAATGAACAGATATGAATTTGATGCTTTGATGTTACTCTGAGTGTATATACACACCGGACAAGCTTGAAAAATATGCCTGACTACGGTGGGAATCGAACCTACGACATTTGGAATACTAGCCCAATGCTCTGCCAACTGAGCTACGCGGTCTTGTCGGTTCGAGTATGTGATATTTCGGAAAGAATCTAGTTCCTTCGATATCAATGTTGAATATATCAATATTGATATCGAAGGAACTAGATTCTGTTCCGAAATATCACATACTCGAACCGACCAGACCGCGTACCTCAGTTGGCGAAGCATTGGGCTAGTATTTCAAAGGTCGTAGGTTCGATTCCCACCGTGGTCAGGCATATTTTTCAAGCTTTCCCGATGTGGATATACACTAAGAGTAACATCACAAGCATCATATTCACCTGAGTACATTACACCAACACAGAAAAATCATGATTATTATTAGATAACATTGATATCGAAGGAACTAGATTCTGTTCCGAAATATCACATACTCGAACCGACCAGACGCGTAGCTCAGTTGGCAGAGCATTGGGCTAATATTCCAAAGGTCGTAGGTTCGATTCCCACCGTGGTGAGGCATATTTTTCAAGCTCGCCCGGTGTGGATATACACTCAGAGTAACATCACAAGCATCACATTCACCTGAGTACATTACACCAACACAGAAAGATCAAGATATGAATTTGCTCTCAATTTTGCAAAACAGCTATATTAGTATCCTGTTTTTGATGTATATAGATCTTCCTTGGGTACTTATAATGTAGAATAATGAAAAAAATTCCTCGAACTCAAATTTCGTGAACCAGGGGTGTGTGTCTTTTCCAACAAAACTAAAAATGGCTTGCGCACGAAATTTAAAAGCTTTAATCATATTTGGAGTTAATAGGTGGAAAACTTGTTTGGTTTTTATTTACTGTACAAAATTTCAGACAATTTGCTTCAGTTTAAGCCCTTTATATAACTGCTACCTCCTCCGCAGGCCTTTCAAAATTGGTGAGAAACGAACGGAAAGGCCTGCGGACTCAGTCTAGCCATAGGCTCTCTCGCGCGCGCTTGGTATGCTTGGTTCATAGTGGTACGAAGGGGTACTTGTGGTGGGAGAGGGGTAGCTGTGGGGAAGGGACGGCCCTTGCGCGGTGACGTCACAACTAACTGACGTCATGCCTAAGCTAGTTTTATCGATCGGTTCGTTTTTCGTTGCCCCTGCAGAACGACTAGGGACTAGGCTGCTGCGGACTAATTTTCCAAGATGGCGGAAGCCACAAGCCAACTTATATTGATATATCATTTATACCAGATCAATGTTATTATTAAAGCCTTTAACTACTTCACAGAAACAGTGAATACTGAACAAACAGGCACACATTGATTTATAAATAGAAGCTGATAAATATCAGTTAATTTGCATACTAAATTCTAAAACAGACAAATGCGCTTTTATTTAACACGTAGGTCAGGCATGCTTTTTATTCGTGAATTAACCAATCAGAGAATCGCTACTCCCCGCTATTGAAAACAACAAGATATGTGAACAGAATTTGATCTCAAATTCGCGAAAATATACAGCGAAAATACAGGGACTTTTTCGATAAAATATACGAAATTTGAAATGGAAAACCCGCTAAACAGAGAGCCAAAGTAGTTTTGAAGATTCTCGACCTGAATATGTGAAGATTGCGAAGCGTTTGATCAACTTTGAAGCGCGAGATGTTGTACTTGCATGCCATGGTCTGATGAATTTCAACGCTTACGCTTTGCTCCTTGCTGAATAGCAATGCATCGATCAGAAATTTATTCATACAACTAAACCAACGTCTCAATAATTGGAAACTTACTTCAAAGTCGAAAGGTATCTTCATCGTACAATGAAACTTTACAATGCGAGTATATTTGTAAAATTATATGCAATAATTCCTGTTCGGAATTTCCAGTGCAGGATTGGCTGATCCTGCACGGCTGTTGACCAATCAAATTGCGTGTTTCACTGTAGTTATTATACAAAGTCTTTTGCTAAACTTCTCTCGGCTTTCGGGTATATTTAATCAAGTTCAAGTTCAATTTATTCACACTATTTGGTGTATATATTACATTAGAAGAGATATTCATGATGTATAGCCTATTCGGTATAAATACATTAAAAAGTTTTAAATTATGATATTGAAATTGTGCACGGTGACCAAAGTAGCATACAGTAAGCTTTCGAGTTGGCCACCGTCTACTTTTGATTTATTACAGTCAATAAATTGAACTCTTGGTCAAAAAAAGAGAAAGAAAAGTAGCAAAGAAAGTTAGCATAATACACTAAATTAAAGTTATTTTTTTATTAACTTAATCATTAATTAAGTAGTTAATTCATTTGTTTAACCAATCCATTGAGGTATAAAATAAATCAAGTCATACATTCCCAATTTAACAAAGGGTTATTAATTGGGTTTGACAGTAAATCTATACTTAATACTGTATTTTAAAATTACTGCTCGTTGGTAACTTTTTTAAGGAAATTGTAATGCTCTCCCATAACATTGGCGCAGAGTACTTGAAATTAAATTTTCCAAAATGTGTTCTTATTTTTGGCCGATAGAAGTTGCATCTTGCTGCATGCCTTGTATTGTAACTATGAATATTTTTCACAGGCATTAAAAAGTTATGATGTAGTGAGGGAACGCTTGAAGGGTTGACAAACAATTTATGTGTTAATATATAGCAGTTTTTAATTTGACAATATTTTCAAATTTTAATATTTCATGTAATTGTTAATAAGGCGATGCAGATTGTCTATTGTTAACAAAGAAGATACTACGAACACAATTAATTTTTTTCACACTCAGTTAGTTTTTTAAATTACTTGAGTAATTACTACCCCAACTCAAAGATCCATAGCTTAAGTATGGATAAATGAGGGTATAATACAATTGTTTTAACATGTGAACATTTAAATATTTACTTAACTTATAATCATTAATGCCCTGAATGCCATGCTATTAATTATAATTGTATTTGTATTAATGTTAGGTTTTCTGCCCCTACAACTTTAAGATCATATGTAGCAACAGACCTAGGACGAGACGGCTTGGCGCTAAAAACAGGCGGTAACGTTTTTTGAGTCTTAAAGTGGCGCTCAAGTCCGTTCGGCGGATTTGCAGTTTGTTTACATTTTGAATACACTATATTCATAAAATGCAATGCACTTAGTTAACATCTAACATCGTTCTGGTTTGGTATGCTTTTAAATGAATTTAGATTAGAGTTTCAATTTAGCTATTGTTTCAATTTGGGTATTGTTTACACCAGAGCTAGGTCCTCATATTTCGCATGCGCAGAACAGACTTGACATCATCTTTAAGTTTGTTACACCACGAGCGCGGCCTTTTATCCTTTACATTTCTCCTTTACAGTAAGAACGTACAGTAAGTATTTATGAAATGATAATAAAGTATTTATAAAATATTAATGAAATGTTGCCTTATCTTCTTCTCAGTGGAGGTAACTCTATTTCCTCAGGTGGTTGTCGTCTTCTTGAGCTTGGTCGGCACATCATTCGCTGAAACAGATTTTTGAAAGCCTCTCTGTACGTTTTGTCGAGACAGGCATAAATTATTGGATTGCATAGACTGTTAAAGAGTGGGAGTGTGATTATTAGTGTTTCACCTGCATAGAACAAATACCAGTAACTTAATGAGCGGTTGTCCTTATCAGCAAAATTTGGATAGTAAAACGCCAGCATCAGACAAATAAAGTGAGGACCCCAACAAAGTATAAACACTCCAACGACAACCAATAACTTTCGGATAGTCTTCAGATCTTGTAGAAAGGCACTTCGTTGGTTCTGAACATTGCAGGTTTGACCCAGTTCCCCATTTCTCAGCATCTTTTGTCGTTTATGAACAACAACAAAAATGAGAGCGTACATAACTAGTATGACTACAGTGGGTACAAAAAATGCACTTACTGCTACAAAAGTATAGAATACTTTTAATTTATTGTCATCGAAAGGGCTGCAATATTTGGCGCTTGTTGCCAAGATTCCCCTGCTTCCTGAAAGACGAGTGGCCGCGTAGGTAGCAACGGCAGTTGAAATGAACAAAATGATAAAAATAATTTTCAATGATTTGAATGTTGTCATTCTAGATCTATATTGAAGTGGCTTCTTCATCTTGAGATATCATTCAAAACTGATAAATTTCAGTGTATAAATAGATGCTGATAACGCGAAGGTATCTATCCACACCGTAAAACGACACAGGTGAATAGACATGGTACGTCGCGATTCAACATCAAGACTGAGTTGATACACCTTCAATGGTTCTAAAATCATACCAACCAAAAGATCAGCGACAGCCAGACAAGCAACAAAATATTTATTTGGTTGATGAAGACTGCTTTCTCTCCAGTTCGCCACCAAAACCAAAGTGTTCCCCAAAATTGTACAAGTAGCGAAAATAATGAATAGGATTTTACACGTCAATACAACCTGCTCCCGAAATACAGTCAATTTCTTCAAATCACTGTCCGCCCATGGATTCTTCCCTGTTTGATTTGTATGGTTATACATAGCACTGGTATTGTTTGACAACAGCACTGCAAAACTTGATCCTAAGAGTTAGATAAAAATACCACACTAGTCAGACAAATTCTAACAGGGTCAGGATGCGGCAGGTACTCGTCAATTCTTCGTGTATTGACTTCATTGTCCGACTTCTAAGTTCTTTTAATTTCTTAATATTTTAGTTATTTCTATATACAATATATTTTATACATTTCAAAGCCTTAATTTATATCGAATTTTATACTAATTTGAAGCAGATTAAGATACTACTAGAAATACAGGCATACAATTATAGCATGCACCTCGCTAGCATTTTCCTAACATTTTTTCAACATGAAGTGTTCTCAATCACTGAACGCAGGCGTGCATTGCTCTCGTCATGTTAGTCCATGACACGATCATTGTTTATTTTTGTACAGAATGGAAAAAAATTATATAAAGAAAAGTTTAACACTATATACTAAATAACTACCAATATATATATATAAAATATATAAAGTAGTTATGTTATTTCGCATTCTATATACGATCTTTATTTTAGTGTAAAATGTTTTTCAATGTTCATTGGAATTTTGATTCAAGCCGTGTGCATTTTCGTTCAATATTGACCGAGATTACTGCGTGTAAACTTGAGCAAACAGTTTTGCAAGTGTCGAGAATTAGCCGAAAACGTCCTATTAAATATTAATACAGCAATAACCTGTGTTTAGACGCCCGAAAATAGACGCTCAGGAAATACGTTCGTTTTTCAGAGACAATTATTTATTCATCAGGGAATGCAGATCCTTGGCCATTTTGCTTAAGAGATTGTCGAAGCAATTCGATGTTTTCCGCTGTTCTTGCCGTTTTTGGTCGATCACTTCGTCCTTTGTTGAGATTGTGGCAACTGGCAAGTCCCCTCTCGCTCCAACGTTCGAAACGTTTTCATCACCGTTAGCTCACTCGAGCAAGAAGGTTACCCCCCAGCGACCTGCCAAACGTCGTATAACCTCACGAGCATTATTTACCCTTGAAAACTCTAAACAAATCTAAAATCTTTGGTTAAACGAGGCATGTTTATAAAAACATATACGCGACTTTTTTTCTTGGAACATTAGAACATATTAGTCTCTTTTTTCTTGGAACATTAGCATTCCCAAAGGCAAACATCGTAAAACAAAAATAAAAAAGCAACCCAATCCAATAAATATTTTTAACTTCAACTTCACTTCATGGAAACGAATACTTACTAATATCTCGGTCAATATTGCATAAAAATGCACACGCCGCATATCAAAATTTAAGTTAGTCATTACTGAATGCAA